GTATATATATATATATATGTATATATATATATATATATGAATGGTAACAATATCTATCTATCTATCTATCTACCTACCTATCTGTCTGTCTGTCTGTCTGTCTGTCTGTCTGTCTGTCTGTCTCTGTCTATCTGCATATATATATATATATGTATATATATATGTATATATATATATATATGTATATACATACATATTATGTGTCTTTCGCTGTCGGGCTTATTGGCATCAGCTTCTGAGGAGCATTGGCGTGCAGGCGTTGCTGCATTGCATTTCAGCCTTTCGAACCAAATTATTCACAAATTGCAGTTAGAGGTAGCTACTCACATTTTCCATCATGAGCTGATGTAAAGTTGCAAAAGTCGCAAGAGTGCGAGTCCTGACGATGTTCTCGCTGGGGTGCGGTGCGTGCTTTCCGACAGGAACAAATGAAAAGTTGCAACAGTCTAAGGTATGCTTCGTTTAAGCTACCGGTGCTTCAGATGCACCGAGCAGCTTTTGATGCGAATGAAAATGAACAAACAAACTGTAGCAAGTACAAAGTTATGGCTCGACAGTGTTACGCTGCAATTTTGGGATCAAGCTTGTGGACCATGGAAGCTTATCAACCAGTGGCTTGAATTTTGCACGGCTTGCCCTCCTGCACAGTTGGTATGATGGTGTACATTCAGCATGCAATTCCACAGTGTTGCATCTGACTTTGCTGCAGGACGACAACACGATTTCGACTTGTAGTGTTTCCAGCGAGGTGTAATCTCAAAAACGACATGGGTTTGGTTTGACTTCCGCGAGAGCAGCTTGCCATCCCCCCCGACACGTGTCTTGAGGTCATGGTGAGTGAGTGCATACAAGGCTCTTTAGGAAAATACTTGAGTGATATCTTGTGGGCTTTATCATGGGGAGCCCAGGTAATGAAGCAGCACAAACTGACTGTTCTAGAAGTGTAGCCATTACCGGATGTCGACTGCTAGCCGCCTCATCGGGACCAGAAGACCAGCAATATGAGAGGACAAAATGACCACAGGAGAAATGGACCAGGGAACCGGAGGCACAAAATTCCAAAGGGCCACACCACAATAAACAAAGTGTTGAGCCAATGCAAACACACCCTTTCGGATACGTCTTTCTCCAATCCAGAAAAGCAAGAAGGAATCGAAACGAATCAGGAGGGCTTTATGCAAATACAGCCAATCTGCACAATATTCTAGTTCTTGGGCACGGCCATGCTGTCAACTTATCACGAGCCGCACTGCCGAACGCTGCTCATGAGTCTGTTCTTACATTAAAAGCAGTGAAGTAATCAGGGAATTGCGAACTGACGGAACGGACCTAGGGACCCACCGGCCAGAAGGATTGACATCGCGATTGACCAACCAACCGGCGAGCAGCGGGCCCACACCCAGCAAGAAAGGTGTGAACTCCCTTAAGCTATTGAAGCTCGTTGTACCCAGAGCTGGTATGAGCTGGTCACAAGTGGCCAGGGGCCTCGCGGCGCATTTCCCCACGCCTCGAAGTTGCCAATGAGCTCGATTGCTAGGATGCCAAACCTTGGTTGCAGCTATGCGGTGCTGCAGCAAGCTCATACTTCAGAGCAGACGATTGGGTCGCGGACAACAGGTCCACCATTGCCAGCAAAGCTACGCATGCTGCCAGCGTGGTGGCCGTCCCGAGGATTCCAGCCAGAAGCATCTGTCAAGAGAGCAAGCGGCAGCTCATGCGACGACAAGTGTTCATCTCAGGAGGATACCGCCGGCCTTAAAGCTCTCGAAGGTCTTCAAAAAGTTGAAGAATCGTAGAGTCTGCATTGGATTCCACATTGGACAATTAGCAAGCACATGCATCGAGCAGCAAGGGTTGGGCACACCCGCATACTTCTGAGAACGTTCAAGGACTGTGTAATCCTTGGTCTGTGTTTTGATGCGCCCCCTCGAAAGCATGGCACGTGCCGCTGTACCATCCGTTTCTGTCACTGAGCTTGCTGCGGGCTGCGTTGAACCTAACAACGAAGCAGGCTGCCTACTCAAGAGCCAGACATGACTGAGCCCCTTGCATCTTGAGTTAGAGGAATAACCCACCTGAGCTGGGGCATGCAAAAACATGCGAAACGGTATTGCGCAGACCTGCAATGCTTACATTAGATATCATTAGATCTTGTATTCTCTGGTTCTTCCGGTCGAGCCCGAGGCTGCTCGTTCTGCTTTGCGAACGCATTTTTCGAGATGCTGGGAAACATTCTGAGAATCTCAGCTTGAATTCTGCCGAGGTGGGCATAGCAGCTTCAAGGGCCGAGCAAACTCGGTTCCTGGAAACATGATGGATTGTGCAAATCCTTCCATGCAAGCATGCAGCATCGTGCATGTCATGCAGAAAGCTTGGAGCCAAGGGGCCCAAGCAGCACACCGCAAACCCAGACGATGAGGGTGTCGAAGACGTGCTGGGCCAAAGCTCTCGTTTCAGAGGGTGCTTTGAGCCAAGCCAAGTCATTGCCAACCTCGGCCTTCACGGGGATGAAGTATGCTTTGCCGTCTTTCAGAACACCTCGAAACTCGAAACTATCGTCGCCGAAGGTATATGACACAGCTGCCCAAGGTCCGAGCGCAGGATCCACTCTGCCAAGAAAAGGAAGACAAACACGTTGTTCATGACTTCATAGAAATCCTGGCTACCATGTGAAATAGCTACTAACCTACCAACCTTCCCCACCCAAGCAACACCGTGCAATCAACACTCTAATTTCACTCACCCTCACTGACTAAACAAACAATAAAGCCGGCTGCCTCAAACCAACTACTCAGACCTCTAAAAGCGCTCACCACGTGTAACGCTTGCTGGTAGCACCTTCATCCCCGCCTGAGGAAAGGATGTGGCAAGGGTGCTTGATTTGACTCTTCTCGGACGAACAAGCCTACGAAGCTCCCTGCAGCTCACTGAGATCCCTGCATCGCAGTTTGGGAAGCAGGCTGCGTCTGCGCCTTGTACGGTTCCCTTGCTTAAACGGATGCTCAGAGGAGTTGCGCCAGGGGCCCGGACCCAGAAAGAACATGCAAAGAATGATGGAAGCCATGCTGGAAGCCTGAAGCACAATCACAGAAACTCTTGGGTTCTTGTTCTGTATTTTTGTTCACTGCGATGGCGGACGACTATCTCTTGACAGCTAGATGTTGATGTTGGCATAAGACAAGACTCCGCGCCGCTTTGGGGAGGCTCGAGGACAAGTGACAATTGCCACAAGGGAACAGGCGCGGAACGATGCCGATGGAAGCTCACCTCTGAAGTTTTTGGAGATTCGCAAAAGCTCTTGATAGTATGGTCAATGCTAGATGTCGCATTTTAATAAAGTGAAGCACAAACTGAGCCGTGTTGACCTGATTTTCGAGTCAGAGTCAGGCTAGTTGCCGTCGTCCCACATGTCTAGTCAACACTAGTGCCCTACCAAATCTATAACAGAGCCCCAACAGGCAGTTCCCGGTCCTCGAAGCCATTGCTGTTGACGATTCGATCCAGCACCGGTCTCTCCAACCTCGATGCCTGATGAAAGCTGTCGTGGGAGCACTGCGACAAACCAAAACAATCGCAGCCGTGCCGGCACTCCAGAAGCCTGTCTTTTATGCCAAAAGAACCAAGTTGGTACATGCGTTTGAAAAAAGGCCAACGGCTCGAACGCTACAGCAGCGCAGATTCCGAAGCCCCCAAAACTCCCTTGTGTGGCTCTGCGGAAGAATAGAGTTCTCCACGCTCGACGGCACCCTGACCCAGGACGAGCTGACCAACACGGCCATGGTGGTCACAGTCTACGGCACACTCTCTGTCGTGGCTGGTGCTCGCCTTGGATGAGCCTGGTAAATCCTCTTACGTGATCGTCCTGCCGGGTGGGTACCACTTGAACCACTGCATCGAAAGCGCCTTCGACACTGCCACCTTCGCCCAAACGGTTTTGGGAAATCGGCGGCCGAACGACGGAAAGGGCACCAACCCTTCCTGGATGGACCGGTGGATTCTGTTCTACTAGGGCGGATTGATTGCTGGTGTCCCTTTCGTTGGGACTTTGGTGGCACGCATCTTTCGCAGATGCACCATCCAGCAGGCGGTCATGTAATCGCACTTTGCCCTTCATGTATGCTGTGCTGAGTTTCTGAAACTTCAGTGCAGTCGGCGTCGGAGAACATGGGCACCACGGAGTTCGACTACGTGGACTACTACATCCACGCGGACACGAGCTTTTGGCCGCGGCGGCGCAGGCAGGTGCTTCGATGTGCCGGCGAGCATCCCCGGCGAGGCCTTCGCGGCCTGCTGCTGGAGCATCAGCATGAGCCATGTGTGCAAGCACTTACGAAACGAGGCTGACCTCATGGACCAGTACAGTACTGCCGGCAACGACCCCGTGTTGGGGATTTCACGACCGCGCTTTAAATGAGCATTGCCTGGCACGCTTCCTTTTTGCGCGTGCCCCTTCTTTGTACAAGAGGGCACTGCCTGGATCGTGTGGCACAAGTTAAAAGGTCCCGGCAGCTGCGGCTTACCCTCGCGGAACCCCCTTTTTTCAGCTGCCTTGGGTATGCTGCCATGCTCGATGTGACTCAAAACAACTTTCAATTACGATCGTTGCAATCGTTTAGCTTCTCCTGCGTGGCAGGCAAGTTTTTTTTTCGCAAACCGTGTATCCAGAACACCTTTTGAAGGAAGGTGTACCTTCCGCTTCGGGGTGTTCTAACGTCCCTTGCGCATGGGCTTGTGAAAGGCTTAGATTTTGCACCCCCGAGTGCAGACTACCAGCTTGTGAATTTCTGTTTCGTGGTTGTAGGTTTTGGTTGATTCTGTTAGCTGAGGGTGCAGGCGCTGAGTTCTCAGCTTTTCTTGCATTCAGTTTTGGCTGGGTGGCCTCATAGGAACACCAGGGCCATTGGCATGTGAATTCAAAGAGTTTATGGGCAAGGCGAGCATCCGCACAAGACTCAACGGCAAAGAATGAAACAAATGGGAAAGGGCCTGCTTGGATCTGAAGCTTCTCCCAGCCTTCGAGCACCCCCCCACCCTCCCCTCGCCTTCCTCTTCAGCAAGGCCGCCTCCTCTGTGCAGAGTTGCCAGAGGCAGCTTTCACTTGCAGTGTCTACGTTCTGGCTCCCCGTGCTTGTGTCCAAGATGCCACATTTGCAGCTCATGTTTCGATAAAAGATACACGCTGATTCTGCAGATGGTTTGAGCGGAGGTAAGAAGGAGGAAGGACGCACAAACTGATCGTTTCAGAGATGCTTTGATGATCTGGCCATGCGCAGTCCAGACTGTGGCAGAATGTGCACGTCCTTGTCCTCCTCGTCATCGTCGCCTTCAGCTGAAGTTAAGGCTTCGAACATCGGGTGTGGCTTTGCATGAAACCGCGATTCATCTTGCGACCACGTTGCTTTCTTCTTCCTCTGGCAAAGTGTAGGGCGACACCCACCACTCTGCAAAGTCGCCTGCTGCAGGCGGGATCTTGTGCCAGGACAGGCGCATCGCAAACGGATCGATCGCTTCTCCAAACGAGCCGGGCTTTCCAACGTACTGAACCATCGTATCCTAGGTCGACTCAACAATCATCCCAAAAAGAATTCAGCCATCTCGGCGAAGCACTGAGTTCAAAATCACAAACCACTGAGCAACAGGATAGAGAACAGATGCTTCTCTTCCCCGAAACCATGTCATTTGCAGAGAGACTCCCAACCAGGCAGGAGTGATAGGAACACAGGTGACGCTGCAGACTCGGCAGCATCACCCACATCACACACTTCAATCGACAGCTCCCTCAAGCCAGCTGCGGCCAAAAGGCGGTGAGCTTCGACCACATTGGCTTGCTCTCCACTGCCTTAGGTGGCGGTCTCAAAGCATTTTTTTCCCAACAGGTGAGCCGCATTGAGCGGCCTCCGGGGCTGCAGGGACCTGTCCGAACGGGCATCGCATCTCTCCCGAGCCTCCCTTGCGTCTCTCCCGTCCCTCTTCCGAGCCTCTTCGACATCAGCCACAGTCCCGAGCTTGAATCCTGGCATCTTCATGCTTGTCAGGCGGCCGTAGGAATCCGCAGGAACATGAGGTCTGCAGAAGGACTTAACGAGACACGGCAAGAGCAGCGAGAGAGGCCAGGGGTAGTCGAGTGCGAAGTCTCGCTGCTCGCAAAGGACTTGTGGCGCACCAGCTCCTCGCATCGGCTGCTAAGGTGCTCCGGGGAAAAGTGCTTGCACGGTGTTGCAGGTCAACGAAGGGGGGCAAGATGTCAGGCCTTCGGCTCGTCCATGTGCACGATGTGGATCGGGAAAAAGGTTGCATCTACTGTAATCCTCAAGCATGCTGCTGCAGGCCGAACCTAAGAGTCTAATCGAAATATGGCCTAAGGTGAACTCTGTTGGCGTCTGTCCCCTAAAGGTCTCCCATCAGAGCAGCTGAAGCCGGTGCAGAGGACATGGATTGCAAGTTCGCCACTCTCCAACATGCGCCGGCCAGCTGCAGCGTCAGATCAGAATGTGGTTGGCTGCTTGCTTTCGTGGTTGCATGCAACTTCCACAGCAAAGCATCTCACCTGGATAGCAGCAGTCTCGTGCTGCTATCCCACAGAGAGACTTCCTTAATTCGGAGTTCGTCGCTAATTAAGCAGCTCCTTGCGGAAGAAGAACCAGCAGCTTTCGCATGCCAGCCTGTGCAAACCTGTGCATGCCAGACAGTCACAAGCACTATGCTTTTTCACATCAAGATGCAGCCACCATCGCCCTCCTTTTCTGCTCCGCCTTCTGGTCATCCTCTGCTCTTCTCTTGCTTGTTCCCACACAAGCAAAACTCCCATCAGGGTCGCTCCTGCAGCATCGAATTCAGCTGCTGCCTCGCCCACAGGACCATTCTGAGGACCACGGACACGAGCTCCTCGGCCCCTTGCTCCGCAGGGCTTTGCTGCTGCCAGTCCTTGGCTGCCAGTCCTTGTCGATGAACTTCATATAGTGCATATTTAGAACATTGAAGGAGGCCAGATTTAGAGCTCCGAAGCCGCCGCCTTTCAGCACGATTCTCGCTCCGACGGGCGGGTGGTCCGAGGCAAAATCCCAGAGCTCGTGGAGGGGCTCAGAAAGAGAGGACTCGAAGTGCTCGAAGCTGCCCATCCGGTTCACCAGCATCAACGAAGCGGAGCCCTCCAAGAGCTCCTTCGCCGGCATGAGCATCTCCAAAGCTTCGTCCTCCGAGGCCTCGGAGATCGCTTCCAGACGGCTTCGGAGGTCCTCCAGGCAGCGACGCGCCGCCGCCGCCTCCACATCCTCCGCGGCCTGCGCCTCGGATCCGAGAGTGCCCAGCTTTGCCTGGAGACTCTGCAGATGCTCGCCTCAACTCAAGAGCTCGAGTAGTGGCAACTGCGGTCCCTGCACGGGCACCAAGTGCACCCAGGACCGCACACTCCTTCTGGTCTGTGTCAATCGCCGCCTCTTTGGCAACCTGATTCCACATCATGCAATTCGCCTCTAGCTGTAATAAGGGAAGGATCCATGTCACGTCGCGGTCGCGGCATGTGGGGTGCTGTGCAGCTTGAGGGAGATGGCTTCTTATGGCACTGCAAGGTGGATGTCGAAACAGCAGGACGTCCGCAACAGCCGGGGTGCGCGATGAAGCACCCAGTTTTCCTCCGTGTTTCTCCGCTTGCACGGCCTCTGCTCGAAGTGTGGCTCAAGCCTCTCAAGCTCCTCGGGAAAACGTCAGCTCTCCAGCTTGTCCAAGAATCGAAGATACCGTAGGCCAGTGACCGAACCCTACATGTAGATGTCATTCATGCTTTAGGGTATTTCGCCACCATGCCAAGTAACAGTCGGGAAAGAGGCAGCCTCCGCAAGTCACAGAATCAACAGCGACTGTGAGTACAAACTACGTTTAGCTTTTTCATGCCCGAACATACAGCACGCCTCATTTTGCAGCATGTTGGCAGTGGTAGCTTGGCTGCATCTGTTGATTCGTGTTCCAGGTCCGTGAGCAGATTGTCATCAGTTCGTCCTACTAATGCTGCCATAAGCGCTTCTTTCAGCTTGGTCCTGACTCAACACCACGAGAGTGTCCTCCACAGCAGCCGCGACACTGCTGGACAGAATCAAGAACCTCGCATGCAGGCCGCGGAACAAGGAGTGCGCACTGCCGCTGCGGATTCGCACACGGACGACTCAGAAGATTCGAACCGAGGAGGTTCCTCCCGCAATGAAACCCGGGATTCGGGAACCAGGGATTGGAACACAGACCGCAGACTCACGCCCCGACACGATTCGCACACGTCCGCTCGCTTGACTGTTGGGCTAAACGGAACTACGGCAGGGGGAAGCTTAGGCTCAGGACTCGCATGTCTTAGAATACAACCTTAGAGCCGAAAGCCAGAAGAGCAACCCTTGCGGCCCTGTACAAGCCCCGTCTACGGAGCAGAAAGTCGTTGTCGGCACACTAAGCCCTCGCAGAGCAAGCAGCGCTATACCCTAGAACGTCCCTCAAAAGGAAAGAAACCGGTGGTCGCTCTACCGATCAAACCGGGAAGCCCTAAGCCTAAACCGGCCTAAGCCTTGAAACGCTCAACCTTGTAACTTACAACTTGTCACCCTGTAAACCCGAAAACCTCAAAGCCCTAAACCCTAAAGCTGTAAAATCCTAAACACTCTGCGATCGTTGTATCTTGGCCCGGTGATATCCAAACCGCAAAACCCGCAACCTGCAGACCCCAAACGCAACCCCAAAATGTCGAGGCTTGGTGTTTGAATCGCGCGTGCTCGGTCACAAGTGCTTTCATCGGGTGCGGTGCTCGAATCGACGGTGCTCGAACAGTGGCGTGCAAGCGAGTCGTTGGGGCTTGAGCCGCACTTGCTCGAATCAGGGGTGCTTGGATCGCGACAGCTTTGATCGCAGCGGCAGTGCAAGCTTCAGCATGAAGCACTTGCAGGCAAGGATCCCGTGACCCTTGCGGATGAACACCTTGTTCTGCGGATACCTTCGGAACTCTGCGACTAGAGGACGGCCCGCAGAGTTGTCAACGAGGGCCAGCCCACTAGCACAGACCCCTGGAGCGTTCTGTCGGCACACGGGAAGACTTTGAACAGCTCCATCAGGGCGTCAACGTCCTCGCACAAGACACGCTCAACTACACGGATGTCGAGAAAGCTGGATGCGACCGTAGGTTAGTTGCAGCTCCATGAAGCAACTTTTGGGCCGAAAGCCACACATACCAGCAGATCTGTGGGGTTGCACACGGTACCCGCGAATCATTTGATCATTGTTTGGCCTGTGCAGACACTGCCGGCCGGTGTTGGAAAAGTTGCAACGAGAACCAGTCCAACAGCTCTCCGCAACCAAACGCTTAGCGCCGACGAGAGTGCTTCTCGTCTGTGCCTAATAGTGTGAGCAGCTTGCATGAACTTTCGCTTCAGCCTCCATGTCCCGTCGGTCCTCTGGCGTGCTGAAGAGCGTCTCCTCGTGACTGATCGGGAGCTTGAGTGCTTTGGCCTTCTCCAGACCCTCCTGCAGCATTGGCTTCAAGCAATTATCCTTTCCGATTTTTACAATCATCTCTGGGAGCTAGAGTGCAGCTTTGCATGTCGCTAAACAAGGGTACTCCCCCTCACCTGACTCAGAAAATCCCTCCCTGCGCTTCTTGAATCCTTCTCGGCAAGAGCATGCCCGTGCAAGGCGACCAATGGCCGCTCAGGCCAGCTGAACGTCTCCGCGGCTTTCATGATGCAAGCCCAGTGCAAGGGCCTGAGTCGAATTGCACTCGATCAATGCAGACTGCCTGCGCCCCATCAGCATGGTGTCAGCTGACATGGGGCCAGCAGACGTCGGCAGGCAAACCGGTTGCGGCAACAGAGGCTGACATGACATGGCATCACATGACTTTGCGTCAGGTGAGTCCGGCACCTTGTCTACGAGTCTACAACTCAGACAGAACGATCTGAGGAGGAGTGGCTGAGTGCATGGCGTGTCAGATGTGGGTCGTGCCCCTATCTTCGCAGGGCAGAAGCAGCAGCTCCACTCGTTCCAATCGAAGGATTGGACAGCCACGAAGTCTGATTCACTGGGCCGCACACCTGCATCCTTAGCAGATGTGCGAGGACATGAAAGAAGTTTGACACAGAAACGGAACCTCAAGTCAGGCTGAGCCTGGTGCCTTCCCTGATCTTGTCACAAGAAGCATCTCCTGATGGCGACGATTACATTGTTACATTGGTTATGTCCGAAGCAAATCTAACGCCGTGTGTTAGCAGCATGCTTTACCATGTTTGTGTGCAACAACTTCAGCTCCCACTTGGCATCCCTCGCCTCCGCTGCTCCCTGCAGCAGCGCGGAGCAGTTGCCAGCAACGAAACCGTCAGGCAGTACGGGCGCTGCGCCAATCTCCTCCAGCATGATCGCAGCACCCGACAGCGCCTATAGACGGGATTTCATGAGTCGGCAATCTGGAGATGCGCCAAACAAGCTCAGCTTGTGGTTGCTGCTTTCCTCTGAGTGCCGCGACGTCGCAGAGGCTGCGAAACTCCGAGAAGAGAGGTCCCAGCTTGTGTTCTGCATCTTCGGTGGAAGGGTGGCATGCGAACCTGAAATGGATGTCCAAGTTTGTTCAGCTTCCGTGCACAGCAAGGTGAATTCTGCTGCCCAGCTACTTGATGCGTGGCGCCCCTTCTGTGAGCGACTTCTCTTCTGCTGACCCAGCAGCCATGTCCCCTAAGGCCCCAAGCAGCTGCCGGATGCCGCCACAAGGCAGGCATTGACTCTGAGCCACCATGGGCCAGGCTGGCCATGTCAGAGGTTGCAGGGGTCCCTGGGATCATGGTCGTCTGCATGGCGCAGTTTTTCCTGCCTCCATGCGCCCACGACGTGCCGATGCTTTCTTTGTGCAGATAGCACGTAACAGATGCCTGGAGAAGAATGCGGAAGCAGAATAGAGACATCTCTACAGTACCTGCCCGTCCAGATTCTGTCAACCAGTTAGCCACGAGAATCGAGCAGGCTGCACTACGGTAGCTTAATCCGCCTGTCGCTAAATCGTGCAATTCCAGGCCACTTCCTGGCCAGTCAGCACAGTGTTCTTTGCACTGTACTCGCAAATGCAGCTAGACTTCTTCGTGAGACCACATGGCATGCTACAGCAGTGACATCTATGTGAAGCAGATCGGCATATGACTTTACATCTAGCGAGTGTATATGTCTGTATGTATATGTATATTAAATATGCACACATCATCTCGCCGATGTACTTCGGCAGATGCACCACGACATTATCAGAAAGTTTCTCCACTTCGATTCCGTGACTCGCGTGCTGGCAGTGAAGTAGAAAGAATCACCAGCGACCGCAACTCGCAGTATGACTGTTGTCAGAAGGTTTGCAATGCAGTCACACATCGTACCATGGGAGCATGCTGCCTCGACCTCGTGTCAGCTTCTGTGACACCAGCTTTCACACTTCACCACTCAGTAGTGGGTGAAAGGGCCATGCAGCCTAAAACAAGCTGTTTGCTGCAGAGAGAAAAGCAGATCAACAACTTCCTTAGCAATGCCGCTCACTAAAAATGAGCACTCGCAACTTTGAGCAGCATTTCGCGGCATCGTGTAGCGAGGCACGTTGAAGCTCGCGGCTTACCTTCGACGACGTCGCACACATACACGGACACACACGCACACCCACCATACGCAGAGTGAGAAAAACTGCATTACTCATATTACAATATGATGACCAAAGTTGCAGTGCATCGAAGGACGTGTCTTGCTCTGCATTCTCTACAAGGCTCGCCGACATCTCCTTGGCTTTTTCGAGAAACATGCAAAGTCTAAAAGTCTTCAGGGCAGGCTCCAAAGCAAGACTCAAGATGTCGGTCCATCTGTGCAATCGGGCTTCCAGGACACTAGCGCGCTCTGCCGAGTCCTCACGTGCCTCTCTGAAAGCAAGTTGCTCAAGCGACAGAGACTGTGCCGGATTTGTGCATCCTAACGAAAACAACAGGTCCCCACAGAGCCCCCGGATGCAGTAGCTGGGTCTGCTGCAGATCTCGACCAAACCCTGCAGAAGCACCGTGCGACAAGTGTTGACGCTGCAAGACAATCTGCAGCGCCTCATTGCCGCGAAGACCATTAGCATTGCTGATGGGCCGGCCACGAAGGCCAGGAACCGGATCTGCAAACAGCACAGATTGGCGCAGCTTGGAAGTCGACAGTTTTGATTTTGGGTATCGGACCTTGAGCCGCTTGCTCTCAAGCTTCTGCACATGGCCATCCAGCCGCTCCTGTTGCGACCACTCGTACAAATCTTACAAGGCCATGGGGCTTCCTCTTGGGCGCCCGGCCAGCGACTCGTACCTCGGCGACTCGGTGCTGTGCTGCCCAGTTTGAAATCGAGATGTTCATGCTTGGGTCTGCTGCGCAGCTTCCAACTGTGGCGTGGTGTGAACCACTTGCAGACGCCGAGAGCCTCAACTCTCTCAGACATTGCACCGGAATCACAGCGTGGAAATCCTCCACTCAGTCCCGGACGCTTTTTGCGACCAAGACCGCAACTCACGGTGCACTTGCTGAAGGCGCTCCAGTCGGACCACATCTGGGCTCAACCAGAATCTGCAGACCACTGAGCCGCACTGCCGTTCGGGCACGTAGATCCGACATCGTTTCGTGTCATCACTGGCAAACCCAGTTCCGACTTGGGGCACGCGGGTTGGTCAGGCAATCTCGAGCGAGACAGCCCGAACCCCCCACTTCTCCTCGCGACACCACCCCTGAATTGGCAGGGTGCCTTGCAAGCTGCCAGTTGCTGAAATCCTTCACGGTTTCGCCACGCCAACCTCAACACCACCACCGCCGCCGCCACCACCGCCACCGCCATTGCTGTCGCCACACATCCTCAGGAGATCCTAGGTTTCAAGGTTTCAAGGTCGGTTCCTGCACCGAGACTTCGTCCATGAAGGCCATCGAAATTGCAGAAAACTCTTCCTTCCTCAAGGAAGAGTTAAAAACCTTCCCTGGTGAAGGCAAGGTCCCCCCTTGAGAGCTTGCATCGGCCCCCCCAAAAAACTTTTCATTGGACAACACTAGCTTTTGTCACGTTTGGAGTTGGGCAAGCATGAAATTCTGTAATATTAGAATCCTTGATGGTCCTGGTGTTCGCAGGCCGAGAGCTATGCTCTCGACCATTGAACAGGCTGGTATGAAGTCTGCAATATGACCTTGATATATGCAGAACCCTTTCGATGCCCGATGCAGCGCAGGAAGCAGCACCTGCTGCAGGCTTGGTTCAGGATTCGGGGACCTATGATTGTAGAACACTAGGAACCGTTCTGCGGTGGCTAGCAATTTGGCAATGAGTTATCTGGCTCTTTCGGAGCACAACGGTCGCGGTTGTTCCGAAAGTGCTGGGGCATGCTGTCAAAACCCAAGGCGACAATTCAAATCACCAACATGCATCGTGTCTTCCTGGCAAGAGCCCAAGCCCCATGCGCAAATTGGCTCTCCATGACAATTCCGAGGGCACTTTGCGACCTCCTCGACATCACCCTCCTGACACAACAGATCTGGTGCTGTGGCAGAGTGCAGTATCACTACCAAAAACTAGCATGCTGGCCAAGCATTCCCAGGACCAGTGTATGATAAACAGAAGGACTGGCGCATGGAACGAACAATTGCAGGTGCACAAGCTGTAGATCTGGCAGTGTTCTTGCCTTGCAGCGCCGCCCGCCACACTCGGGGACCCTGCACGCAGGTTGCTTGCCAGACTTGCGAGGACGTGGGATGAGGTGATAGAATCCCGAGCTGAAGTAACCGGAGCTTGAATTGAATCGAAGCCAGGCATGATCCCAGAGGCGGGCCTGACCACCCGGCGATGTCTTGTCTTCTGTCCAGCGCACTTGGAGCAAGCCTGGTTTCAACTTCTGCAAGGTACGAAACATGCGTGCAGATTCGAGAGTCTTGGCGCTCTTGGTGCTCTCGGTCCCGGGCGCTCCATTCGCTCCACTTGCCCCACTTGCAGTCGACCGGCAGGCAGCTCTGCACGTCGGGAAGGGCTTGTGAGTCGGGATAGGGATAGGGAGACCCGCCAGTCATTTCAAGCTGGAGGTGAAAAGTAGAAGACATGCAAAGGAGATGAAAGATTCCGACATGGAGTGGCTGCTGCAAAATATCTGAACATGCACACATGCCCCCTGGCAAGTGTGCTGGCACACCTGCCCACAGCGGTGCGTATTGCAGGACCGCACCTCTGCATCACGAGTCTCGCGATCAATACTACACTGCCTTTCGCATCCAAGGCCCGCGCAGTCACCAAGGCACCATCGCAGCCTCCACCGTGTGAGCTAGCAACGCCCTCAGTGACCTCGTTGGAACGATCTGCATGTGCTACCGGTCTGGTGGCGGCATGCATGAATCCGCGCGAGTCGTGCTCTTGGGTTGCAGCCCCACGTTTTCGCTCCTCCACACCTCCCTCGCATGCTTGGGAGCAGGAGCTCCACCTCAAGGCCGAGAGAGGCACCCTTCAGTGTTCTGTTTGCCCTTTGCCGGTCGTCGCCCCCAGGCACCCCTTGCAATTCCATGAAGACCTTCGGAAGCCCCTAAACTCTGAGAAACTCTGAGAAACACTGTGGCCCCAGCGACTCCCAGGACTTGAAGACGCAAGTGATGCCTCCCATCCTGTGAAAAGGCAAAGTCAGCCAGGTGCGAGGTGCCCAAAATCAATACATCAATAGGTGACTGTGGAGGCGGGCGGGTGGTGTGAGGGCCAGACCTGATTCTGTTTCTTAGGTCCCAGCGCACAGGGATCACAATGCCCAGACAGGCACGCCTGGCAATGCAAGTTGCATGCAAGTGCGATGGTAGAGGGGGAGGACACAGCCTCCTACTACAGGGTCCACGGCCCACTCCCCCGTCCACCCATATTCACGGGCCTGTGAACCGGCCCTGTGCCCCCAAAACAATGCGATGTCTTGCCATCAAGAGAGAGCAGTCGTGAGATGTAACAGCTTCTCCGCAATATGTCAGTCTCAGAAGTATTGAGCCAGACTTGGTGAAGAAATACGTAGGGACAGCGGGCCTTCGCAGCAAAGAGGAAGTTGTGGCCTCATGCACGAGGCTGGATGTCGACTCGTGTCTCACTGGGAACGGCTTTGAATGCAACATCAACTCGCTTGAAGTTGAGCTTACGGCCGCAACCTTGTTCGCCAGTTTTCAATCTGATGCGTACCCTGGCTGCTCATGCACATAAGAGTACGCACCAAAAATACGATTCAGAACCATACACCAACAAATCAGATTCCTCAAAACTGCAAGAATGCAGGCGCCTGGACTTTTGTGCGAATCGAATCGCAACAGCTTTCTGCTCCTCATGATGTCTCAGCTTGAGGTGCTGATCTTATTCAGATGCGAGCTTGGCAAAGGAATGTCCTTTTCGGTCAGCAGTTGTGTTGGCTGCCAGTACGCATTAGGCTGCGTTGCACAAGGTCCTCTGGATCAAACAAAGATAGCGGTTCGGCACTGCTGGAGTGGCAACCGTGCCTAGTGTCGGTGGTGCCGTCTGATATACATGGGATTGCTGCTGCCTCCCAGGCTTTGGGCATCCAGGAAATGGTCACAGCATGGCATGACAAAGCATCGCGCGAATGCCAAACGGCTTGGGGCCCAGCTGCAAAAGTTTGGCTCGCTCCATATCATTGAAGGGAGTCGCTGTCGGAGCTGCTGTTGTGGGTTGCATTCCCACCGGCTGCTGGTGAACATAGTGGTGCCTGCGATGTGACCAGCAATTCGGAGCCACTTGTTCAAATCAATTTTGCGCAGCACACAAGAATCCTGAGATTATCTGAGGTGGAGACACGCTGACGGTTGGAGCCTGGCCGAAAGCTCACACGAAGCATCATCAAGTCTGGATCCAAGAACCCTCCACCGGCCTGCCCAAGCCACGGGACGTTGAAGACTTGCAGGCCTGAGTTAAAAGTCGACATGCACTCTGTGTGGCATTGGCCCTCAGCTTCAGGGCGTTGAGAGTCTTTTGCCCAAGAGTGCAATAAACTGAACATTCAATGAATGTCTCGACATGAGTACAAAGCTGCATCGCAAGTGCGCATGCAGGTGCTTCACAGAAGCCTTCCACGCTCTGCCGGAAGACTTCACGGTCGCAGATCCGGGCCGGTGCTTCTGTGTTCGTTGCAAATTCTCCAAATCTGTTTCGACAGATATCAACAGGTAGCACCCGGTAGGTCGGCACGGGTCATGCAGGTATAAGGTGCCAAACGAGTACTCGCAGTTCAGCAAGCACTTCTGCAGCTCTGTGGCTCTGCCCACCATCTCTACACACGTTTAGCATTGCCTGGAGCGCCACTACATCGCACTGGAGCGTTGAATTCTGAAGCTCAGCGAGGAAGAGCGCCGCCTGCTCCCACTCGCTGGCGTCCTCCTCAGAACGTTGACTCGTCGCTCTTCAAGCAGTGAACAAAATACTGTAAAGAACGAACACCACTTGCCCAGATGCAGCTGAGGCTGGTGCACAGGCCGTGATAGCAGCACTGAAAGTCACGATGTCAGTCTGCATACAGCTGGCCACTTCGTTTGCCAAAGCCACAGCTTGTTGCCACTTTCCTCCCTTCTGACATGCGCTGATAGCAACATTAAATGTGGTCGTAGATCCTCTCAAGCTGCTTTCAGCCATGTCCTCCAGCAAGCGCAGTGCCTGCTGCCATTTTCCCCGGCTCTCGCAGGCACTGATGGCCTTCGAACGAATACTTGCCACTAAGAGCAACCTGAGCACTAAGCCACTAAGCATCCCTCCTGACAGTCTGCTCAGCGCTCGCTCAAGACTTGACGTCCTTCTTTCTAGTTAGGCCGGGGCACGGCGTTGTAAAGAATAACATCTGTTGCGAGAAGTTCATCCTTGAGGTTCCAAAAGAGAAGGAGCGCGTGTTGCCACTGCTCGGATTTTTCACATGCACTAATGGCGGCACTGTACACAATGACGTCACTGCCAACCTTGTCGATGCAATCTCGTAGCAATTGCAAGGCCGCTTGCCACTGGTAAGCTTTCTCACAAGCGCTGATCACGGCACTATACGCAATCACGTCGCTTCGGCACCGCTGAGCATTCAGCTCATCCAGCAGTGCTACAGCTTGCTCCCATTGCGCACTCTTCTCACAAGCGCTGATGCTTGAGCTCCAGGTCACTACCTGCCGCTCCAGCGATTGCAAGCTGACTTCAGAGCATAAGCGCAGAGCTTCCTGCCACTGCTCACTGCGACCGTGGCTGCTAATCGTTGTGTTGTAGCTGATTACATCAGCCTGAAGGCCGTCATCCAATAGCTCCACCATCAGAACGATTGCTGTCTGCCAGAGCGCCTTGGCTTCGCAGGCACTCAGCAAGGCGTTGCAAGTGATGAGATCCGCAAGCTGGCGCCTCCCCAGCTCCAGCCGCGAAACCATGGCCAGTCGCCATCGGCTTCCCTTTTCCAGAGCTGTAATGACTGCATTGTGGATGATGGTGTCGGTCTCGATGTTCTGCAGCTGAGGCTCCAAAAGAAAATGCAGGGCTTGTTTCCATCTTGAAGTTCTGACACATGCACTGACCTTGCCACTGTAGGTCATAATGTTTGGCTGTAGGAGCGCGCATTGTGTGGCTCGGTGCCAGGAACCCTTCCTGCACCGAGGGGCCGATCACAAAGACACGAGAGTCGGGGAACTGCAGGAAATTGGGTGGCATGGCAGTGCGTGTGTGTGTGTGTGACTACTCAGGATAGCAAAGGGGAGATACAGGCTGGCCAAGGCCAAAGAAAAGCCAAGCTTGTCTTGCAGTGTCACTGGCCCCGGAGGAACGTCTGTCAATCCCAATCAATAGTGGTCAAGCCGATCTGGCACGTAGTTAAAGAGCCTCAGTTGTACTTACATCCAGCATAACCCCGACAGGAATGACGTAAAGTCTGAAACAAGATGACAGTTATGGACGGCAAAAATGAAATCTTGAGCAGTGATGAACAGCATGCCGCCATATTGTTCTAAAACAACTGATGGGTCAGAAGTTTCGCACCTTCGCAGGTTGATGGGCAGACAACCATCCAACCAAAATGGCTCGATGACTAACATTCTGAAACGGCTGAGGCCATCAAACCCTGAAGTTGATTGACTGGTAGCAGACTAAAAACGTTTGAAAGCAGTGATTTGCAGCAAACTCTCAACTCAAGCCATCTAAACCTGCAATAGCAGTGCATACCCAGACGCTAAATTGAGAGTTGAGGATTCCTGCCACTTGCAGACCAGGACTTGCAGTTTGACAGTCTCCTACAACATGGAGGCTTACAAAGGAAGGGGTGCAGAATTACCTAAGTTGCTTTCGGTGTTGCTGCCTGCAGAGCTGGTGGAAGGCTTGTGCTGAAGCTGCTTCCGGCTGCAGCCTTTGGTCCTGCAGTTGCGCCAGTCGGCCCACACAGAGCTGCCAGCGGAGTGCCCTTTCGAGCTCCATGCGGCCCCGCACTACCTCCGTAACTGGAGCTGAGAGATGCCGCGAAGAAAAACTCAAGATAGTGATCATACAATGTGTGGTAATCAGGAGGCGCGACATGCAAACAGGATTGCACATCACCATGCGGCTGAGCTTTTGAGGCATCTAGCACGCCGTCATTCACATCCAGGAACCACCCTTGCAGGCGTCGGAGACCCGAGCAGGCCAAGTCATGTTGCGGCTGGTTACACTGGATGACCACACAGTGGCGTCGGATCTGCGACATGCGATCTGCCTGGCAGGAGAGTGCACTGGTCATGGCGCTTCGCGGACTGCAGCAAATCACTCCACCGGTGGCCAACTCCCAACTGCCATCGCTGGGATGCAGCCCAGCCAGATTTCTGCAGGTCTCTCCACGATGCATGATTCGGTTTCAATGCAGCCCCTCGGCTTATTACCAGGTGGCTCCAACGGGAAGGCCAAATTTCGATCACCTTAGGCGTTTATTTATGCAAGAGGCCAATCCTCATCCACGTCGTAGTCTTCGTCCTCGTCCTCACCACCCGTTGCTCGAATGCGCACCAGCTCCTGGTACATGGCTGTGGTGACTGCCGTGCCTCCTGCCTGCAGAGCCAAAAGCCATTCAAGTGCCTTCTGCCACTGGGCACCGCAAGCAGAAATCGCAGGGCAGACGCTTTCATCGTCAAGGGAGTCGAGGTCCTGTTCCGAAAGCCAGGCAAAGGCAGCCTCCCAGCCGTCGCACTGTTCCCGCTCTGCCAATACTCTGATCTGTGCCAAATTCCAGAAATAGTTAGTTTCCATCAGCTGCCCCTCAAACTCAGCAAGAACAGCTGCGGCCCGCTGCCATTGCTGGGCACGCACACATGACATCCCGACCGCACCTAGCACTACCGGAACGTCCCATGCTACCTGCGATGCCTGTGCGTCAGCTAGTAGTTGTAGCCCGTGTTCCCACAAAGCCTCTTTCCTGCACATGACGGCCAGCTGTCGGTAGGTGATTTGATTGGGCTGAATGCCTTCCTCCATCATCTGATCGCGGAGGTTAAATGCTCTGCTCCACTCAGAGGCCTTTGCACAGGTGCAAATGGTCCAAGTGTAGGTGTCTACCGTTGGTTGCAAGTCTTTCGGGGCCATAGACGCAAGGAGCGACAGTGCGCGAGCCCAGTCTCCGCTGGGTTGCATGGCACTGATTGCGATGGTGCAGTGGCGGGCATTAATCTTTACGCTTATCTTTGGTAGGTTGCCCAGAAGATGCAGGGCCTGGCCCCACTGAGCGGAGAGACTCACAGCCTTCATGGCTGCTGCCATGATGGACTCATCCGCCTGTAGCTGTCGTCGTTCAAGTTTGGTCACGAGGAGCAATGCTCTCTCCCAGCGTCGCTGCGCGCCACATTCTGCGATCGCAGACCGGAAGCCATCTTTCGTGGGTCCCAGGCCAAGCTCCATGGACAAAGATACATCTGTGGGCTACGTGCAGCCTTGGGAGGCTGTTGATCGACTTTATGCTGCGATGTGCCCACTATCGACATGTCCGACATGTTTCGAAAAGGTTGCACACAAATGGCAGTTACAGACCTTCAACAAGTACTGGCACCTCGGCTCCTGCCCTCCTGATGCTCTTTTTTTGCGCTACATGCACAGCTGGTGGCTACATGGCACCGTGTCTCCAGCCGCGTCTCGCAATCTCGTCTTGGCTTCGCTCTTGTGTGTCACGTTTGTCCGAGAAGCACGTGGCCTCATCAGATGCCTTGGGATCAGGATTTACTGTGCAAGGTCGAAGTCTCAACAGGAAGACTTTGACGAAACTAGAAAATCCTGCCATTCCGCACCACTGGAACCGCAGTGTGGACGCTGAAACGGTTGATGTTTCCCAATGTACGCCGAAAGATGTCTTTCCTCAGAATATGCGAGCTAAACCTGTTGCGAAGCTTGGTCTCGATTGCCTCTAAGGTGTGGTATTTTAGTTGGAGGGTGGGGAGCCGCATATTTCTGAAGCTTCGGGCTTATACCATAGGGGCAAAGATGGAATGAACCTCGGCCGAGGCTCTGTGCAAGCAATGCTGCGGGTGATTGTCGTGCTGCTACCGCCACCACTGCCGTGACGGTCATCGGCTCCTACTCAGCTCGCAAGTGACATGGAAATGGCCGTGACCACCCCGTAGATATAAACTCATACTGTTTGTCTACTGCCAGGTACTCGATGTATGCCGCCACATGGTGGTACTACTGAAGTGCTGATTGATTAATTGATTGATTGACTGACTGCTTGTGGGCGCGCAAACACCATTGCATTTGCCAGGCACTGAACACTGCTCTGTGACCATGCAGCAGATGCAGCAGAGACACACTAGGACTGGGTACCGTGCAGTTCAAGGATACGAGAGTGAACAGTTTTGGCTGTTTCCGGCTTGCAACACGCCGCCCTGTCCCCCAGCGCCACAACCTCGTTCACTCTCCAATCACTGATTGTCGTTTCATGTTTTTGCACCGCACTGCGACTATGACAGAAGCTGCCACAGCGACTCAAATGCATGATTTCATGCGGACCGATCAGCAACGAACGGATCCATGGCAGGCTCCATACTCTTTTCTAGTTTCTTGTCTTGCATGATGATGGTTCCACACAGTATGAGACACAAAACTGAGTAGTCGCAGCAGCGAGGACACAATGCAGCTTCACGTGTCTGTGACTCTCTGCAAGCATGCAATTCAGGCCTGGCGCGTGCTTGGCCGTGGGCATCGGTCGGGGGCGTGCGCCCTTCCGCGACTTGGGTTGCTTTCACGCGCCCTTGGTCTTCACGCGGTGCAGGTCGCTGATGGCATTGACGTTCACGCGATCCCACTCCTCTGCGATGTGTGCAGCAGGTGGCCATGACATGACTCTCAGCGCAGGGCCTGGCCTGGGCCAGCTGAGACAGCTGTCCCGGCTGTTCACCCAAATAAACAAAGAGCTCGGTGATGAAATCATCCGCCTGAGCGGACTCTTCCGAATTTGTTTCCCCATGGCCACTCAGAACGAGGCGTGCGCCGACTCGTCTGCGTCCTCCACTTCATACGGCTTCTTGAGCCGACGGAATCGTCGAATAATCCTGCAGCCTACAGGCACGAGATCTGGTCATGGCACCTCCTGTCCGACAGAGTACGACAAGTCTGCTTCTTCCCAGTCCGGCCTGGAATGACAACCGCGATGCTGAGCAGGACGACGACGACTCCGATCATTACCAGAGCTGGTATGCCGCCGATGGTCCCGTCACCCTGTCAGTCTGAAAATATGTTGTTGTTTTTTTCCATCTTCTCTAAATCGGAAGCAAAACGCACATCCGCCTGGACGATGAATTTGGAGGGATCGGGTTGCACAAACTCCTTTGGCTTGGCGATGCGTGTCACCAGCTGTTGAACAAACTGGTGCTCGCCGACAGCAGCCGCATGTATCACGGGGCTCCTTGAATCTCAGCATATGGGAGATTTTGATGGGAGAAGTGGTACAGTAGGTTGGTTACCGTACGCGATTGTGGACAGCTGAGTGCCGTTGATTGAAGACTTGGCACCATCCAGACCTGTCCATCGCCCAGACGTCGGCAGACAGATCCAAAAGCCGCATAGCAGTTAGGGACCTTATACTTTGCGTAAAGCACGTGCTGTACCGTGAGCTGCTGACACAAAAAAACAAGTTTTTGCAGCCGAGGGCACTGGCTGAAGGTGCAGGCATAGTGCAAAGGCCGAAACCCAATTGCATCCTCAAGCTCAAAGTCGGCACCTGCACTCTGACTTCGGATGTCTCACCAACCACATTAAGCACCATTCTCCCCCCGAAGCGGCGAGGCCTCGTGTGAGGAGGAGGACGGACACGTTGAAGAGCAGGTCAGAGCGTGCGGTGTGGTGTAGCGGTGTGTTGAGGTCGCCGTCTCGGGCATCCGGCCTCCAGTTATGTCAATTGTTTGAACAACTGTTGTATAGCTCTGCACCAAGTCTCGAGCCTTGCTTTAGCGCTCAGCAGCAACTCCGTGACCTGCACGAGCAGGCATGCTCGTTGATGGCTGCTTCTTTCTCGCCCCTTCGCTCTGCCTCTACGTGGCCGCTTCGGGCGGAGTGATGCAGGGGCGTGCGCTGGGTCGCATCCTCCAGCTCTAGGTAGGCCTGCGCATTCAGGAGTTCCTGGAAGACTTCAAGGTCTCCGACCAGATTGCGGCAGTATGCGTGCCTGTGCCTCCAGCAACAACCCCGCGGTTGCGAGGTAGCCACCCTGACCAGCAAGTAGAGCGAAACTGTGGCCAAGAACACGCGGGGATGCTTGCGAGCGGCCAGCACTACTACAAACAGCCCGAGAGCGCCTCTTCCCGTTTGTCACAGTCATTCTGACTTGCATGCTTGTTCCCATGCCAGGCATGTTTGCACTGTGGGACAGCTCTGGCGGTTGTGGGCTTCGCTTTCGCCCTCCCATCCACAAGAAGAACACCACTACTACTCTTCATGTGGAAGCAACAGGTTAAGTGATGCCTGAGCTGCGAAGTGGAGCGGGGCACGGCCCATGTTGTCGCCTGACCTCCCACTCGACGAATCCCGGATTCCGGCATGTTCGATAGACTCGATAAACTGCTGCTTGTGCGTTCAATCAGTTCCAAGAACCTGGCATGGCTGCACGAGCGCTCAGCAGGGCCTCTGCAGCCAAGACCTGGCCCGACAACCCTCGACTTTGCGCTTGGAACTTCGTGACTTTACCGGCTGTACCGCTGCCTGACCGTTGCCAGCAGCCAAGTGCAGGGGCGTCTCCCCGTTCTCACCCTTGCCTGGGCTGTTCAAGCATCAGTTGCACTCAAACGAGACCAGCCTCACAGCCAGGCGACACGAAGGAAGCTCCGACTCCAGGCCTCAGAAGCCCAAAAACAAAAAAAGGCTGTGTCTGCTTGCTGGGAGTCTGCATTGTCTGCATCTGCCGAGAGACTCAAGGAGAGCTGCGCAAGGTCTCCCGCCCTGGAAGCGGGCAGAAACCGCCAACTGCAAGGAAGCGGACTGTATGGCGAAAAAACATCTGGCTCGACCTCGCGGAGGCCAGGATCGCCTGGCTGCATTGATCGGCCAGCGCCCGGAGAACCTGGGCCTCTTCCAGTTTCTCTTCAGCCATGTCAAACCATTCTGTACCGTAACTGGCAGCTACCGCAAGTGTTCGTCAATATGTAGCCCCTTGACGTTAGCAGCTACAACAGCTTCAATGCCCAGCCTGCAGAAAGCAGCAGCGCATCATGGCCAGCGCGCTGTTCAATTTCCGACGGTTTTCAATGCGGGGTTCGAGATGGGACGGTCTTACGATTTCCTGACGCAGTTGCAGCGGCAATAAAAACAGGCATGTGCGCCGTCCTTTGCAAATGCATCTTGCCACATGCATCGATGGCACTTGGACAAACAGCTGCAGATCATCTGTGGTTTAGGTGACGAGCTTCTTGCAGTCCGAGCCCACCCAGGCCAGTCGGTGCAGACTCAAACCCTAGAGCAGCCCTCGAGAGGCTCGAGAGGCGTTGAGTGCCGAGCGCCGAGTTGAGCTGTTGATAACAGCCGGGTACCTTATCGTGAAAGCTTCGGGTCTATGCACTGTTACCAGTTGGCTGTCCTGCTTGAGGCACTGGCGAGAAGGTGGTGGGCCCTGGGGTGGAACAGCTGCCCATGACCCTGAAAAATGCAAGCTTCAGCTCGTGTTATCAAAAGAGTCAAAATTGACGAAGTCAGTGTGGTCTTCGGGCTCGGCGATACGAGTTCACTCAAGAAGCCGAGGCCGGGGCGTGAAAGCTGGGTTTGGAGAATTGTAAAACTCCTGTGCGCGAGACGGTCGACTCTTGGGCACCAAGCGAAGCAGTCTTGGAGCAGCGAATCTGCTGTGCCTCGCACTCATCCACGGCCGTGATCTCGTAGTTGTTGCTCCCTGTTCATAAAAAGGGTGTAGTCTTGGGCCTGTGCCTCTCTCAGTTTCTGTGGCCAGCAAGGTCTTCAATTGCAGAGCAGTCTACACTGCTGGCCTTGACACTGCACTGCATGGCAAGCAAAGCAGACAGAAAGTGCCTTGTTCGTCATCGGCATCGAAGAACTTGATGACAAGGTCTTCGGGTGTCTGCACATGGGCAGGCATGGGCTGGAAAGCTCAGCTGGACCAGTCCTGTCTACCATGCTTGAGTCTGAGAGCCTCCCTCCATGCTCCATGTTCAGCTTCACAGAAGCATGTACTCGCTGAGGTGTCAGCCATTGGATCACTGGTGACAGTGTCGACGAGCTCGAAGTTCAACACCACTTCGGAATTGCGCCTAGGACGAAATCATACACGTCTTAGCTGACCAAGTCCGGACATGCACAGGCAAAACAACTCTCTGTGTCCCAAAGGACGCCGCTCGACGAAAATATTTCCGAAGCTCCCTTGTAGACCGTTGAACTTCACGCCCTGCAGGTGTGTCAAGCAACTCGAGAAGGACCACTGCGTCTCCTTGCATGTCATGGCTGGTCGGCCTGCCCCGCATTGTAGTTGCTCTCCTCGGTTGCGGGATGCTACAAACGACAAGTGAAGATGTAGGCTTTTGGCCTCATCGACAGTGACTCTCAGGTCCACGGTCTGCGAGTTGTCCTCATGCAATTGGGCACAAGGTTGAGCGATTCCGAAGAAAGCCGTTACGGAGCTCGAGACCGTTGCCGAAAGCATGCCAACCTAAGTCGAGTTTCTGCTGCGGCGCCCTTGAAGCGAAGTTCCCTCTCGGCCTGGCGCAGTGGAAGATCTGTCACAACACACAGACCGCTGCGAATCATGCTCGCATGCTTGCTCAGTCTTCTTCAACTCAGCCAAAGGCTTGCTTAGTTTCCCTCTCTCTCTCTCTCTCTTTCTTTCGGCAGGCCTGTGGCCGGGGGTGTGTCCCCCGGCCGCGAGTTAGTGCGCCCGAACAAAATGTGGGTGCCAACGGAGGGAAAAGCACATGGCCACCTATGTTGGCCAGACTCCTTGCGTTCTCAACGGGGAGAAAGGACGATCTGAGGCTCCCATCACGAAGCGACTAACCATGACCAAATAGAAGCCTCCAACGTCTGCAAAGCTTACCGGAACAAATTTGGAATGATGCATAGCAATTTCCGCAGGGGGCGGGTAGAAGTCACGAGGTCTTAGGAAAGGCTCCAGCGGCACGTCATTAAACAGAAACACAGATTAGCACTGCGATGCAGGTCTCCACCTCTTAGGTGCAAGGGAAGTTGGAGAGAAAACGTGCTTTGGCACGCCATCATGGCACTATACTTGGTATCGTGAGAAGCAAAACTCTCTCTCTCTCGCAAGCTCTCTCCTACATACCACAAACAAGGCCGGGAGTTTGCCTGGAAGTCGGGGCCTTTGCCGCCAAGGTTGTTCGCCGAGACACCCGCAAGATTGAGGTAGAGGTGTGGGCCTATCACAAGTCTAGCACAGCACAGAACAGAACAGCACAGCACGGCCGGCGGTCGGCGGGCTTCGCTAAGGTGGGCGGTGATTCGCTAAGGTGCTTGCTGTCCCAGTTGACCAAACTCCTGGAGATGCCATACCTTGCCGCAAACTCTGAAACCTCCTCCCCTCACTACATCTCGCTGCTCAATCAACTCTCTTCGTCAAATGCTCGCCGGATACTGAGACTCGAGCGCGCAAGGATACGCCTCCTCCATGGCGCCGCGACAGTATTGTCCCGACTTGGTGTGCCACGAGCTCGGGCAAAATCGAGACGAGGACAAAACCGACGGCACAACAAGGCCAACGAAAATTCCAGAGGGCCGAACTCCATAGCCATGCTGCAGGACCGTACGGCTCCGTTTCTTGATTCCTTGTGGCAGAAGTCATGTGAAATGTCGAACTTACGACTCCTAGCTGCTATCTGTTCTATTCTGTTCTCAGTAGCAAGCCGTGACATGAGGCACTGCAGTCGGACCACATTGTCCACTCGGAGAGAATGCAATCCTGCAGGCCAGGATGCGAAGCAGGTTTCAGCACTCTCGGTCTTGCAGTCGTCGACCGGGTCCTGCGTATCCTTGCAAGGGATGCCCTTGTTGCAAGGTTCTTAGTGTCAGGTAACATCCAGTTCATCTCTGCAACAAAATGACAAGCAGCACCCACAGTCGACAACACTCAGGAAGAGGACCTTCCAGGATCACAAGCTAAGCACCGCACCCTCTTCGTGGGAGTCGCCGTCTGGCATCCTCCCACATTCAGTTGCCTCACGTCACAGCATCCCGTGCTCATGAAGCTACCCTTTTCAAGTTCTCCTCCTTCCTGGCTTGACCCTGCCTCCCTTCCATCCCAAGATTCCAGGCCCTACTGGTACCACAACAAAAAAAGGACTGATCGACTGCAGGGCGGCCTTCCGAAGCATGTGGCGACCTCTTGCACGCACACCACCCTCACAGGAGGTAGAACACGCCTGACGCAAAGGCATGCAAAGGCTATGGCCGGCTAAGGGCTTACATTTGAGGCCCGACAAGATCTGAGGAGGCTTCTGAAGGCTCTGAGGCGAAGGTCTTGCTTTAACTGTCCCAGTTCCTGCCCACAGCCACCGCCAAACAGCGATCTCGTCATTTCAAAAAGCCGCTATGAGCGGGTGAAAGGTCAGCTGCTTTTGCAACTTACAGAAACCTTGCATCAGCGATGCGAGCCTCGTGTCGAGCCTCAGCTACGACACAAGCTGCTCGGACGCCGGGCCTCCCAGTCCCTCCACTCTGCCCAGAGTCCATCAACGCAGATCCTTTGCTGCCCGAAGCGAGGAAGCAAGGATCAAGCTCTGCAGATGTGGGTAGCCTCTGCGACCCGAGACCTCCGAGCACCGCACTCCCCTTCGGGGCATGGCTCGGTATTGCAAGGCTCCACCCAAGCCTGCAGCTACGGCAGACGGTCGCATAAGGCTGAAGGGAGGCTCAGCTTCCCTGCCTTGTCCAGCGGCTTGCACGGCTCGCATCCAGGAGACGGCCACCTGTTTCAGGGTGTGAGGAGGCGAGGGCTGCAGCCAAACGGCCCAAACATGCAGGCGATGCGATGAGATGTTGCGCAGTCGATGGCGTTGACCTCGGCTCGGCCCGCTCGGCAACTAAGTCCCTAGTTAGGAGTCGAGTCTGCTATGGCGCTGCTAGCTCGGCCCGCGGACCCCCGCCGCAGTGCCGCGTGCATTCGCTCCATTGCTTCCATTCTCCCCAGACCTGTCAGAGTCGTTTGGGGCATCCCGTCACAAGAGAGCATGCTGCCGGACATGTGGAAAGCTTACCGAGATTCTCACGCAGGGGTCGCAGTTTCCGCAATGGTCGAGGTGGCAAGCCTTGACCTGGCACAAGCGAGGCGTGAGCCAAGCTCTGCATAGCTCTGCTCTGTGCTTCCTCGCGCCTCGCTTAGGTTGCCGACACAGCCCGTGCCGCAGTGGCTGAGCCTCCGGGAGCTGCAGAAATCGTGATACGATGCTCTCCGGCAGCTAACCGCCGCCTCATAAACGGAAGCATCTTCGCGGGGCGAGGACGATTCACTCTGACATTGCGGCTTTTGTAACTGAGGCCACCATAAACCTCACCTACATGGACCTACCGAAACTTCTGGAGGGGTTGTCGAACCTTCGAAAATGAGAAGCACGTACGTTCAACCACAGGAAACGAGTGCAAGAAAACCAAGGCAGGCCAGTTTTCATGAACCTTCCACCTTGACCTCGCAGTAAGGAATTGCGCATTGTACGTGATCTTGTGAAGAACTCATGTTTCCAATGATCCTCCAACCGCTCCCTCAGAAATATTCATCTGAACGGATCCCATATTGTACCGGCCACGCGTTGACACATCAGCTTGAGAGATATTCGCCTGTGAGTGACTCTCCGAGATCTCTCCTGATCAAACAACTCATTCAGCACAACGACAATTCGAGGCAACATGGCAAACGATGCCACGTTTCCTGATAGCCAGGTCCACAAGTGGCGCTGCATGGCGACCACCTCAGTCACTGCCTATTCGCTGTCGCTCGAAGGCTGCGCACCTACGAGAGCCGTGGGCCTATCTGAGGCTGCCACACTGTCCAGATACTGACTTTGCAATTGACCTCTTCATTTGAGCATGGCCTTGCGGCAAGCATTCCAAGCTCGATCTCGGCACTGCATTGCAACATCTAGTGGAAATAAGAAGTCATAACACGTTTCCCTCAGCCAGCTCGGGCCAAGGCTCATGGTTGCACCCAGCCGTTTCGATCAAGCCAGGGTCACATGGCCTGAAGCAGTCGACCCTCTTTGTGCACATCGAGATTACTCAAAAGTCCGATTCAGCCCAAGTCAACAGTCCAACCGAATCCTGGGGCTACAACTTGCCCCTGTGCTTTGGATTCACTTCTACCTGTCCCAATCAGACGCACAGAGAGAGAGAGAGAGAGAGAGTTCTGGTGACCACAATCCACACAGCTGATTCACCTGGCGCTGCCGCTGCTTCTGACCTCCATCGCAGGACTTGTCGCCTGCAGTTGCTGGGAAGGTAGAACCCATAAGCCCACGCTGCAGGAGCTTGTCCATCAATGTGATACTGCGACTTGAAGCAGGGAAGGACACAAACGAAAAAAACTGCTTACAGCTGGCTGGGGGCCTTGGCATGTGCTCTTGCATAGATCACATGCGCTACGGATTCAGGTGTGCCAAGGGCACCTGAGGCATCGACAACTATCCCACTCAGTCCAGGGGCTGAGGATGCAGTCCACCGCAACCGTGCAGGGCTTGATCTGACAAGCAAGGAGATGTCGAATAGACTGCTCCTGCAGTGCAGAGAACTGTTTGCCGAGACCTCCTTCAAGGTGCCGTTGCATGGCTTTCCGTCCTGCACAAGCGCATACAAACACACACACACACACACACACACACACACGCACACACACACACAGAGCTAAGTCGGCCCAACACGTCGAAGCCTTTCGAAGCCACACACACATACCGCGACAGCAGCCAAGACCAGTCGTGTCCTTTGAGGGCTCCTCTGCGATTATGCGGTAGCGCTCCTGCTTGGTCAAGTCACCGATAATTATGCGTGACCGTCCTGTATAGGCTATTGTCACATGCTTGCTCCCGACAATGACGTTAATGCGGCAGTAATCGCGCCGCCTGGTTTCGCAAAGCAAACTTACAGAGATGTAGTGGCAAACGCTGGAGTTTAGGGATCTATGCACGTATTCCTGGAAAGGGGCGCTAGCGCAGAGACATTTCAGCTGCTGGTGCTGCTGCTGGACTGTTGGCCGGTGATGCGAGTTTGGCAGGAATCTGACCTGCTCTGCCCATGAACAGATGACAGGGCCTTGAAACATCGTCCACACAATTCGGGTTTCTGGCGCTGTTGCGATGCAGAAATCACTCTGCGTGCCGTACTGCATGTTGCAGCTGCCGCGGCCCTGATCATGTCCGCTTCTCCGCTTCACGGGCAGCAGTAATATGATGCTGCTCCGGGATCTTGGGTTGTGGGGAGGACGGCCATCACCATATTATGCTTCCAACTTTACTTTCTCATAGTGGAAACCGAGGAAAGATGTGGGGGCAACAACTGCTCGGCAGCCGCTCTGTCCCGCTGGTCATGGGAATCGCAGTGGCTCCACCTGGCTACTCTTCGACATCGAGCGGAAGATCGATTTATATCTAGAACACACGGCAAACGCATGGGAAGGAGGGATTATATTTAGAACACACGGCAAACGCATGGGAAGGAGGGATTCTACAGAGCGAGCCCCCAAAACTTCAAATTGCAGACCCCAGGCGTGCACTCACTGGAAGAGGTAACCGATTTGGGGTCTTGGATGCAAAACTGGCCAGCAGCACTCACTCCAGGGTGAAAGCTCGCAGTCCCTCGCCGCGCTCTCTGTACCTGTCGAAGCACCAAGCTACTTTCGGAGTCTAGTCGCAGGTTGATTGCATCGTTTAAGTTTCCGGCTAAAAGTCCTAAAGTCACACGGAAAAATCTGTTGCGGGCGTGTGTGCGTGTGTACACATGATTGTACATGTCTAGAGCCAGGCACTTCAAGCTCAAGTCCGAAGTACACGGCCAATCACCAAAAGAACCCGATGGCGGCAGAAGATCCTATGGCATGCAAGCCTCCAAAGGATAGCGAGCTCTACCGGCCTAACTCTTTCCGGAGACCTACTCCAACGTCAAATGTCAAAGGCCCCGGCAGGGCTCCCGATTGCAGGGGATCAGCTCCTCCAGGCTGCCCTTCGCGCGCGGCTTTGTGGCGGCGGCGTAATGCTTGGGACGTCGTATCACGATGTTTTGCAGCTTCTAGCATATGCCCGTCCTTCGGCACTAGTGGAAACTTAGGCTCGGTTCTAGTCTAGTCTCTTTCTGCAAAGCATTGACGGAAGAAGGAGGACAGCGAGCGAGCTGCAAAATGCTGACGCGTGGGACTTGCGAGGCCTCACAAGGTGTGCCACCTCCTGCAGGTGGAACTTGGATCCCACGGCTCCTGGCTTCTTGGTACGATAAACGATAATACTCGTATGCAATGCACCAGTGAGCACCATTGCATGCTGCTGTGTCTGCCCATACAGGCTTTGCCTGTGCTTCAGCCCACCATTGCAGATCGCGGTGCACCTCAATCGACGTTCGTTCGTTTGAAAGAGGCGCTGTGCACGAAACTCGAAGGCTCTCTCTTTAACAAACTGAGCACCCTTTCAGCGGTCTGAGCAAGTTCTCAAGCTGCCGTACTTAGGACGCGCAGTGACTCAGAGTTGCGGCCCGAGTATTCGAAAGCCATGTAAGGGCATTGCTCTGTCCACTCGCGCCAGGTGCTAAACCTCGAAGTTGACATGAGAGCAGCCCAACCGCGAGAACTACACCCCTTCGGAGTGTAAACCCTGGGCCGCGAAGATGCTCAGAGCCTCGCTTGCAGTCATTCTTTGCAGACAAGGCCAAGTAGTCTTCACAAGGCTCAATCTCCTGCAGCAGACTTCTATGGAAGAGGAGTCGCATCTGCATGCACGATGTCCTCCAAGGACAGCGGAGGTGCCGGATAGCTGGTGCCACAAGCTTTACCTCCATTCTGAGCCTGAGTGCAGAGGACGGGCAGGGACAGCCAGCGAGGCACTTCATGAACCTTTAAGGCCCCCGAGGAGGATACTTGAGCGAGGATAGTCCGCTGCCGCAGCCGCTGATATCCGGTTTCCTGCAGCAGCTTCTGTCGCTCTCATTCATCGGACGAGTAAGGCTTAAGTCACAGCAACAAGCTAAGGTGGCCGAAGAATTCCGGCCTTCATGCAGAAACTCCAGTCGTCCCAGTCCGAGATGGTACAATCAACTTCCTCCCGGGGAGCAGCAAGGCTGGCAGGCATCTTCTCCGTGTAGGGCAATGGGTCTTGGCTCTAGGCGCATGCATTCAGAACTGTAAATTCGTCCGAGCTTCAGAGATCGCCGTCACAGGCTGTCTACGAGTACGACAGTTGGCACTTCCAGCAAAACTCAAGCCAACTGCAGCGTAATCGGGAAGCTGGATTAAGCACGTGCCTCAACACAAGGAGCTCGTGGGCAGAACTTCGTCTCGGTCTGAGCACCACCGCCTCGCGAGACAAGCCAGGCACATCCCCAAAGGCTCTGCCAGGCCTCTGGCTTCCAATTCGCTGTACTTGGCTTCTTTTGTGCAGCCCTGTGATGACTCAGCCATGACGGCCTCTGCACTGCTACCCACTGTTATCCTTGTTCCTCACGGATGATGTTGGCTCTACCGTTCTGCTTCTGCTGTAGGACTGCAGGGGTTTCATCGAAGAGGCAAGACAATCAATTGCACGTGGCATGACATCAATGCTGCAGCGCAACCCGTCCGAGAACGCTGCATGGCTTTCCGCCGCAACTGCTGCGTCGAGCAATGACGCGGTGACGGTTACCTCCACGTGACAGGTTGTCAGAGCTTCTCTTGCTGCCTGTTCACTGGGGCTGCGGCACAGCTGTGTGCAAGACCTTGCGACGAGAGCATTGACGCAAGCACCGCAAAAGTCTTCCCCTTTTCTCTTTCTGCGGCCATGCCACGGCTCGGACCACTCGCCCCAAACGCCGAATCTGCAGTTTTTGGGATAGCAGTCTTCCTCAGATCGCAAGTCTCTGAAGTGCTGAGAATGGTCTCTTCGATGATGGACAATTCTGGGTCGCGAACATCGCAGCTGGGTGTGTCACACCTCAGTCGGCGAGGGTGCCGGAGTGCAATGGGAAATCGGTCGAGGCCCAGCAGCATGCCCAATCTGGACTCCTTGCGGCCACGGCTCTCCACGGTCTGCGTCTGCTCACCAGAGCAGACCATGCTGCGGCTTCCGGCCTGAACGAACTCGCGACTGAAAGCAGAGGTGAGGTAACCTTTGATGTAATCCACGTGCGAGGATTTGCTGAGGCGACCAGCGAATAGGTAGAGTCCACCAGCACTGCTGTTGTAGTCCTGGAGCTCCAACGGTTTGAGACCAAGGGTAGCACTATCGCTTATCTCATCCATGAACATCTACCACGGTATTCCCCGGAACTGCCAAGCACTCAAAGACCTGGCCACACCAGAGCTGGCTGCCGAAAAGACTCGCTCGCATAGACTTGCTATGGAAACTGGATCAAGACCCAGCAAGCAACTAAATCATTGGTCGGCCTGGTCACTGAGCGGTGCTTCGTCAGTGATTTCCAGCCTGGCAAGGAGGCAGCTTTCCGTTCAAGACATGTCCGATTTGGGTCACTGACTCTATTCTGAATGTGGCCCGCCCGCAAAGACAACACATCTCAAGCGTAGTGTCAAGGCATAGGTGCCGCACCGTCTCTGCAGGATTTTCACCGCAGTTCCGCAGGTGGCCGTACAATCTGGCACATGGTTTACAGGCCACACAGCCGCCCGCAAGCTAGTTCCTAGTTCATCATGGGTTGGCAGAAAGAAGCAGTCACTGGCTGTTTGGTCTAGTGGCACGGTTCTTGCTTCGGTTGTGAGAGGTCCTGGGTTCACAGAACCACAGAACTCCAGTGTTAGAAGGAGCACGGCCACTGCACTCGGTCCAAGCCTCCAAGGTCTGACCAGTCTGCCCAGCGGCAGTAGTACTGCAAAGGAGAGGTCCACCAGAAATCAGAAAGACTGCCACTCTGCTCTCTGGCTCTTTTCCTCTTACAGACCAACTAGCTACCAGTAGCGCTGGCAAATCGGGGGATTTCCAGGTCGCAGCTTCGGGTGACAAGTCGTAGCTCAACGAGGCAGCGTCTCGGAAAGTCCTCGGAGTCGCAGGTCCCGGTACAGTTCATGGTCTCCTGCAAAACTTGAAGAGTCTTGTCAACTTGGGACGCGATGCAAACCTTGAGCCGAGCCCAGACTGACTTTCTCAAACCCTACGTGTATAGACTGCACCCTGGCATAGACGAACAGATCATGCGCCAAACAGATGTGAAGGTTAGGATACCTGAGAGTATCTACTGCGCATGTTCCGACAGCGTTCGACCCTGCAGATTTGTCGAAAGGGCTGTATAGGCATCTTCTGGCTTGCCCAATCAACAGGCTCGTGCTTCCGTGACAAGTTCCATGTAAGAAGGCCTCTTATTGCATGAAAGCTTGTGTTTCAGTTGTTGTGTCCCTCCGCGGAAACGTCTCCTTGGCAACCCCCGGGTCACACTTGTGGCCGCAGTCGTTCCTGTCGTGAACCACGTCAGCTTTAGACGTCTTGCCCAGCCCACTCTCAAAAGTCCGTGAAGACACGAAGTCCGCAAGATTGCAAAGCTGACCATAATCGCAAGCTGCTCAAGTGTGGCAGGAAAGCTGGAGGTGCTCGATGGTGCGCTGGCCTTGTGCTAAGAGCGTGGCTTTTGCAACGACTGATTCGTGAGGTTGCCGTCAGAGAACTCTGAGACTTGTGCGGTACTTCTGCCCACCGCACCCTGAGCAGTCGCCCCATTCAGACCACGCACCTGCGATTGCAAGCAAAAGAGATGTTGAGGTCACGCCCCTTCTGCGAAACAGAGGCCCTGGCCCCATTGGCAGTCGATACAGTTGTTCTCCGGGCAGTGGTGTGTATTGCAAGGCACCACCCTCAGCAGCGCGAGCACGAAGCATCATAGAGCACAGACATTCCGCGGCTTAAACGGTCCAGCAAGCATATTTAGCACACACACTCAATTAAAGGGGACGTCAGAGCGAAGCATTTAGGAGTACCACTGCATCATTGAGAGACTGGTTGACAATTCAATGCCGACCGCAGCAGCGGCAAGCACTGGGAAGGTGCAACTCTTGGAAGCCAACTGTGGTCGAGCAGTCACTGACAAACAAGCAAAGAGCAGTTATTTGCTCCAGGTGACGTGTCAAGAACCTTCACGGCTTCACAATATCACGGCAGGCACGTCTGTGAAACCAGACAAGCAGCAGACCGACCACTGACCCAGTCAGAACCCTCACTCAAACCGAACAAGACGCAAGAGCCGGAGCCCGAGCCCCAGCCGGAACCGGAGCGCTGAAACTCGGCCAAGATGCTTTGGACATCCCACCCCAAACACTGGCTACAAGACGCTGATGACGCACGGATCTCATCATCTTTGTGCACTTGTGCTCAGAGCAATCAAGGCCGCTGCTGAGCCAAAGCGCCTGAGCTCAGCATCTCTACTTGCCAGGACTGCCTTCTTTTGGTGTCATGCCGGGAGCAGGCGACACCTATAAAGCAACCCCGTTTTGAATCTTCAAGGATCCTCCCTCTTAGCGCACAACGTGGGGTTGCGGGGTTGGGGCCTCTCCCCATGCTGAAGCGTCTCGTTCTGGATTGAAAAAGAAGTATCATTCCCCCACTTGCATGACTTCAACCCATCTTTAGCAACAGTTTGACTTCCACACGCTCCCCGGAAAAAAGCTTTCCTGACAAAGTTTCGGAGGTTGACATTGTTGCTTCTGCTGTTCTCAACCTTGCAGGTGCCAAAGCTGCGCCTTCGCATGGAGCGCCATTGTGATTCAGCGGCCGGAGAATTTGACGCATGCGGGTCCTATGCAGAATATTGCTGATGCGCATCTGCACGCACAGGGCAAGCAAGCTCACAATCCTCATGGCCTCATCTTCTCATGTCGTTCTGACACTGAAAACTAGAAGAACTCACAAGACCGGATGCTGGTCGCGCCGAGCAAGGTCCTCTGACCGACACCACACGGCTTGGAGCAGACACCCCAATCTTCCCAGTGGCTGAGCCTCGAGCGCGAGTGAGTGCCTCTCTATACAGGAGTCAAGTAACTAACGACAAGCTAATGGTAAAGGGCATTCAACAGTGTTGAAAAACACTCAATTTCAGTTCATTGCTTAACGACTGCGGGTTGTCTTTCGGCCGATGCAGTGTGGACCTACGCTGTGCAACCCTTACAAAAAGCTGTGAAAGACCTACGACTCCTACGACTGAATCATATCCCCACCATTTGAGGCGCGCAGTAACGAAATCGGAGCCACTTATTCGGATCACCCTTCAGTGTTCTAAGTCTAATGAACGGCATTGATACTACGAGTACCGTATGTGCGCTATAACAGGCGGCAAGGTCCTGCCTTATCCAAGTGCCAAAAGGAAGCTGCTCTGCACTGGAGGCGAGGCTCAGGCGTGCAATTCTCGGGACCCTGACTGTGGCAGCCCGCAGGGTGGGCCTGCCAAAGCCATGAGACATGGAAACGAGACGGAGCACGGATCATCTAACGGCTGAAGTTCGGCTGTCAAAGAATCAGTACCAGCCTTTATCTAGGAGACGCAAATCGTAGCTGCAAGCTGCAGTAGTTGTCGTACTTGTCGCAGCTGTAGTGATTGTAGTAGTTGTTGTTGTTGTTGCCTTAGTATCTGTACTACTAGCTGCAGCTGCAGTAGTAGTTGTAGTTGTAGTTGTAGTTTTTGCGGTTGCTGTTATTGTAGCTGCAGTAGGTGCTCGTCCTCGTCGTCGTCGTCGTCGTCGTCGTCGTCGTCGTCGTGGTGGTCGTCGTCGTGGTGGTGGTGGTGGTGGTGGTGGTGGTGGTCGTGGTGGTGGTCGTGGTGGTCGTCGTGGTGGTCGTGGTGGTCGTGGTGGTGGTGGTGGTGGTGGTCGTGGTCGTGGTGGTGGTGGTNNNGGCGGCGGTGGCGGCGGTGGCGGTGGCGGTGGCGGTGGTGGCGGTAGTGGTGGTGGTCGCGGTCGCCGTGGTCGCCGTGGTGGTCGTGGTGGTCGCGGTCGTCGTGGTGGTCGTGGTGGTCGTGGTGGTCGTGGTGGTCATGGCAACGGTAGTAACGGTGGTAGCAAAAGTGGCGGTGGCAGCGGTGCGTGGTGGCAGTTGTGGTGGCAGTGGTGTCAGCGGTGCCAGCGGTGCCAGTGGTGTCGTCGCCGCCGCCGCCATGCATGTCGCCGCCACCGCCACCGTCGTCGTCGTGATGGTCGTCGTCGTCGTCATCGGCATCGTCGTCGTCGTGATCGCAGCGTGGCCCTCGTCGTGGTCCTCGATGTGTCCTGGCCGTGGTCCTGGTCGGCGTGGTCGTCGCGGGTGCGTGGTGGTCGTGGGGTCGTCGTCTGGGTCGTGGCGATCGCAGCGGTCGTGGATGGTCGTGGCAATCATTCGTCGAAGGAGTCTCCGTAGTGGCAGAAGGATGAGGGGAGGAGGAAAGCGCGCTGGCAGTTGTTGGAGAACAATACTGTGAACTTCGAGGGGCTTCGAAAGCAGACGAGGCCTCGTCTTCTGAAGGGTTGCACGGTGCAATCTCTTTCAGGCTCTTCCCCTGAAGCACAGAAACGAGAAGGCACTCGCCGTTGATGCTGGAGCATCATCAGTAGCATCCCCACTGTGCTCCCAGAAGCCTCGCACTTCTTTCCGGCCCCTGTGCCAAGCTGGAGTACACGTCGATGTCGCTCCTGGCCACGCATGGCAAACGGAGAGTAGCGGCAGCCAAGCACCAAAACGGAGCCCTTTAACTTTACATGCAGTTCGTTGCAATTGGAGTCAGCCTCCGATGCATGCGGTATCCGGGGTCTTCAAGACCAGATACAGGCAGCGTCAAAGAGCAACGACCAACTGCCCCGTTGGATACTCTGGCTGCGCATGCCCTAGCTTGCAGTGACTCCACAAATTCCAAGGCGGTCTCCGTCACGCCGTAACAAGAACAGCTGCAGTCATTCCACCTGAGGGTGACAGGTCTGCCGGATTCAATAAAATCGAAGTTCGAAGATTCATATCATGCCTAAGGCATGGCATAGACAGGTTTGAGACCCAGGCGATGTCCAATCAGACACTTTGCAGTCTTCATCCTGCGGGGAATAGTCCCATGTTGTTCGACTTGCTATCCAAGCTTGGTGCTGTAAGCATGCCAAGCTGTACCCTGCACCTGCACGCAGATGGGTAGATCTTCACACATCTGATAGTCTTCCTGCAGGCAAGAGCTGGCGAAGGGCAAGCTAGAGCAGCACGACAAGCGGCCAGTGGTGTAAGGCTTGAAGATGCGATATTGTGAAGGGCTCCAAGCCCAACTACGCATTGTCATGATGAGTTACATTCTGCCACTAGCTTAACACTGCTGGCCTCCAAGCCAGTCACAGGCTGTCCACAATCGTTATTCCGTCTCGCAATGCTTCGGTGCCTGTCGAGGATGAACAAGACTCAAAAGGCAGCGGCGGCGAAGCAGAATTTCGCTGCGGGCCTCCATCTGTAGCCGGGTGCGCAAGAGGCAGTGCCTCTTTTTCGAGCGCTTGCACCATCGGCTGTTCAGCTGGAAACTCTGACTCAAGCGTGCAAGCAAATAGCTAAGCTCGGCACACTCGGACCACAAACTCCAGATAGTCCTTGCACAGCACACAAACTTCTGAACAGGCAGTATCGCAGGCATGCTTTTAAGTAACCCCGACGGCCGAGTCGGTGGCCACCGACCATCAACGCAATCTTCGCAGGACTGTGTGTTGCAAGGAGCAACCTGCAAAACTTGGCAGTTCACAGCAACAGATGCTCTTTGGATGATTACCGAGGCGCTGCAGACCAGGTCGGAGACAGGCAAGGACAAGAGCTGGGAGTCTAGAAGCTAGAATACGGTTTGGAGAGATGGTATTGCCTAGAAGTTTCCAAGCCTCAAAACTGCATCCAAGCCTGCGTCTTGTCTGAGGGATCGCAAGGCGTTCCGCCGGCTCGTGGGGCCACCTCCCACATTGAGACCAACATAAGACTTTAAGAGCACAACCCGTGTCCCTGTGCGCAGTAGAGGTGGGCTGAGGTGGGCTTCAGGACCAAGACTTTCTCTTGGCTCCCCGATGCGCCTTGATGGTGCGAGCTCTGCGCTTGAGACCCCCTCCACAGGTGCAGGAGCAGCCCTCGGTCGAAGAATGATTGGGGTCTGTACAACCTGGGTATGAAGCCCCCCTCATTGAAGCGCTTAGTCGGAGAGCGACAGGAATACACCTAGATGCCTACACTACACAATCAATAGGACCATAAGAGGCTTTGGAATCTCCACATTGCGGCAAAATGGTTTTTGTACGCACAAAGGTCCAGCTTCTCAAATGTGGGACATCATGTGAATCATGCCCACTGCATAATCCTGGGGCTGATACACTCCAGGAATCCCAAGAATGCCAGACGCAGTCACGCACAGGGCAGGGCCTCAGCAAAGACCAGCAAAAACGGCACAGTCAAATCAAAGGCGACTCCTTCAAAGCTACGTCTGGGAGTCTGGACTCCAAGACGCACTCCTGCATCTCCTTGAGCGAGGCGTGACAGCTCTTGCCTGCCACAATCGCTTTGCACAAAGGTGTGCCGGGGGGGCGAATACGACCATTTCGCCATTTTGGGCCGTGCACTAATCTCCACCAACCATTAAGACGCCTTAAGCCTAGGCGCAACAGGGTTTCACCTGGGTCTCTTACGCATGACGTCTGCTGGCGTCTTTCAACGCACTTTGGCATGTCACTCAGAATAGCTGAGCTTCTTCTCGACCCAAATATACGAACCGATTGCTAGTGTTCAAGGTCTTTCAACAGCGAGGTTGAGCAAACAAAGGCCCCATAAGGCCCCAATGTTGGATGCCGTGGACCTCCATCGCCAGCACTCTGATCAATGGATCGGCTTCTTGTCGACACCTCAGCTTGGCTTTATGCCCTACTTTACGGACCCACAGATTGCAGAATGATACCGGATTTGGGGCTCATCCACCAAGAAACCTCTGCACTGAATCACGGATGTGAGCCCCGAAGCATGATCCTGCATCTTTTCGCCGTATGTCATGATTGGGCGAATCCACACTGTTCTCGAGGAACGTGTCATGCCATACGGAATACTTGTAGAACCATCTCTGGAATCAAAGCTGATCCCTCTGCACTCAGCATGAGGGTTGCGGAACTTCCTCTTCCACTATCTCTTGCTTAGGACTCCGGCTCCAGTGCCACAGTCTTGAGAGCACTGACCCCAGTGCGTCCACGGCGACAAGATGCAGCCTGAACTCGGTTCGTTGGAAAGACAAGTTATCCTGCTCCAAGTAGAGGCTCCGACCCTCGTTCTCCTCGCAGGACTCGACATTGCACCCCCGCACTTCCTTGAGGTCCTGCTTGGCCATCCTCGGTTGCATTCAAGAAGGCATCCGATGCCCGGAATCCGTAGCCTCCGGGCTCTGGGCGGAATGCACGACGACTCGCCGCTGAGGTGTCGAGACTGAGTAGGTTCCACAGGCTTGAGGATAAAGTGCGAAAATCTCTGCAGAGATGTTGATTGAGAACACTTTGAGAGCCCTGCTCGCTGCTGCTGGCCACCACCGCAGGCAACCGGGCACGCTGTCCACTGGCTCCACTCGGTGGTTGAGCACCTTAGGCTTCCAAGGCCGAAGCATCGATTCACTCCGAAGAGTCTCAAAATAATTGTGCTCTGCTCATGAGGCTCTGAGAATAACAATCGAGGTGCCACTGGAGGGTGTCACGGCCGTCACAGCCAGCAGTTTCCGTGAGGGGCGAATCGCAAGGCTCTCCATCGCCCTGTGGCTGCATATGCTTTGTCAAATGTCTGCAAAACACCAGCCGAAACCGCAAAGTCGCGCCTCGGCATAGGTCTCGATGCGTCTCTGTCTTGTCATCTGTTTGGCGCCTTGAATCGTAGCTGAGGCGATCTTGGCTTGGCATTCGAACTTGGGAGTTCGGCTTCGGAGAAACGAAAAAGCATTGGACAGCAAGAGGCCTTCCACCTCACAGCCATGCCACCGACCCCACCTGACCCAGGCAAAGGATGAAATGTACTTGTTCCACGTCACATGTCAAGTTGCAGGTCTTGACCTCCTCAGAGCCCCACTCAGAGACAACACAGTCTTGGCTGCGCTCGCAAGGGTGCGTGTTGCAAGTCTCAGTCTTCCTGCGGACACTCGCCAACGCAGCCACACAGAAAAGATGGTTGCCAAGGCCTCAAGGAAGCCACACAGGGCAGCCCGCCATAGTCGGCTTCCTTCTCGACGCGACGCCTGGGCATTCCGAAAAAGCCTTCGGCAAAAGAATTTTCTTTGGCGGGAAAGCAACTCTTGCATCACAGTCCAGGAAGCAGCCATCCTGACTCACATCATGAGGCAGCATCACTCTCCATGCCCCAGCTTCATACTTCATAAACCCCTGAATAAATAAATCTCACCGTGTTTGAAAGTCTGAGCAAAATCACAGCATTCTGAGTGTATTTCCATGTCACCTTCGTAGAGGGCTCAGCTCTCGGCAAGCTGGCACGGACCCCACCACCGCAGGTCGCACTGCAGCGCGTCCTTGGGATGCACCAACACACTCTCCGCCAAAAGGGAGAACACGGCAGACGTCACTGATTTCTGCGATCTTTGCCGAGCCGGCCACCACTGGCCCCATTCACTCAACCTCAATCTTGCCCACATACAATCAGTTCATCCGAAAGAGGCACAGACTTGTGTCAAGGCAGCCCAGACATGGAAGATTGACGAAATTTCAGACAAAGGAAAGCAGTAAGATGTTTTGCTTACTCCGAAGTGCATCCTGTTGCAGACGCGAGCACAAGTCTGATGTTACAGCTTGGGGAAGGCACGAACATTGTACGGGCATCTCGAAGCCACACGTCTTTGTCCTGGGTCAGCTGATGCGTTCAAGAAACTTAGACCGTAGTTGAGTTTTTGAGTTGTTGAGCAGAGGTGGTCTCATTCTCCGCCTTGCTGGAAGCACCATGCAAGCTTAACCAAGGCAATAGGGCCAATAGGGGTCGCCAGTGACACCCATCCTTTGACTGTCTGGGGTGCAAGCATGTTGAACTTTCCGGCACAGGCCTTGCCAGTACCCAAGGCCTGGCATCGGCTAGGCAGCACCCACCCTGGTATTCCATACCAAACTCCTGGTGGGATCACAACTTCCATCAGCAATTGGCTTCACTGCGTTTTTGACTTCAAATTACCCTATGAAGCTTCTGTTCACATCGCTGCATGGGCATTTACGCAGTCCATTCTTCTCAGGGACAGGATTGGATGCGGATCGCTCAACATTGGGATCCAAACTGGCTTGTGCAACCCTCCTCTGTCGGCCTGATTCGCGATGTGCCGCACCCTAACCGTTTGCGCTTTGCGATCCTGTGGGAGACACGGCAAGCAAAACTGGATTGCTTGTCACCTGCTCTCTTCCCCGACCCATCCTCGCCACAAACGTCGCAGCCACAGTGGCTCCAATCTGTCCACGGCGACCATTCGCAGTCCTTGCATCTTGCTGTCTTTGATCTTAGTCTTAGATCTTAGAATACGGCATCACAGATTATGGTGACTAGACCTTCCATGATACACATCGATTACATTGTCGACGAAGCACAACAGTCTCATGTGACACGTGAGGGCCCCGCCCGATTACCCATCAGACAATCACTGTCAAAGTACTTGTCCATCTGCATTGTCTCTTCCTGCAAATGCAAATGAACAGCTCTGCAACAACCCTTGGCTGCCACTCCGACAAGGAACCGAAATCACCAACATTCTCAAGCACGGTTCAAAGCTTCTGGAAGCTCGCTGCTGCGCCTTGACACCGCTGCAAGGTGCCCCACCTTCACTGTTCATCCTGGCTCGTGCACAGATTGTCACAGGTAGCTAGATGGAAAAGCAGGCAAGCGAACACACACACACACACACACACCCAAAAACACAGAGGTAAGGATTAGTGATTAGTTGGGGCAGTGAGTGAGAATTTGCCTGCCTGTTGTGGCCCGCTTCCAAACTACCCGCAGCACCAATCCCCAAGAGTCTGCAGAAGAACTTCCCGACGTATATCGTCCTTCAGTGCCTACATGCACTTTAGCGGATCGGATTTATTGCCTACACAGGCTAGCGGCTTGCTCAGGACGAGTATATTTGGTTTCTTCGGCGCCCCCTTACGCTGACATCCTTCCTGCCTCGAGGCACAAACATGGCCTCCTCCGTGGGCCCGGGTGTTATGCACTGTCCACATCTCTCCACCCCATGCTGGAGTTCATGGTGAAAAGGGACTTTGGGGCCCGATTCACAGGCTCTTCTTCTTCTTCGTGGCTTATGGCAGAGCCCCCTCATCAAAGCCTTTTCTATCTCTCCTTCGGTCTCTGACGTCCGTTGCTACCTGCAACCTTCTGAAAAACCTTGATGTCCATCTATCGACGTCACTTTGCTTCTCTGCAGGCCTGAAGATCTTGCGGCTGCGAACACCAAGACCAGAACAACCTGCCGAGCAGGCACACAGGCTGTGCGGCTGAGCCCTGAACACCGGACTGTTCCCAGAAGTGCCCGATGGTTTGCAAAATCTTTTCAGCCGACCGTGATCACGCATTTTCCAATTTTTCAGATGCACTCGAGAAACACGGTAGACTCCGTTGCCAACCCGCAGTATTCTTTGTACGTTGCGGCGAACAAAGCCAGCAAAGTGGAGGAAAAGGCTATAGGATGCAGGCTCTTGCTGGGATATAAGAACTCTTCAAAGTATGGCATTACAGGCTGGCCGCTAACAAGTGAGCAAAAATCACTTGTATTCGATTTACCCACCAAGCCCCCTCAAAGGCCAACACCAAGGAGCAGCCGAAAACCCATTGTCCTTCAAAAAAAGCCGAATGGCATCAGAGGCTATACCAGGTACCATCCGCTTTCGATCTGCGTATGGATTCAATCGGCTCTCTATTCAATGGTTCTTTAGACGTTACATGGCACCTGTTGCTGCTACTCTCCTCTCAGCTCGTCCACTTGGCCACAGACCTTTCCAACCCTCACGGCCTCCGAAGGACTCCCACTGCCCCCACGCCTGGAGTTGGGCTGTTCGGGCCATGGGAAAGCTGCTGTGCATAAGTTGTGGGGACTGAACGGCCGTGGCCTACAAATCACGTGTGGCTAAGGCTCTGGCACCCCAAGCACAGTCTATGCGCTGAGCAAAGTCGCTGCACGGCGTCTCCCTGAGCAATGTCGCAAGTCCAAACACGAAGGGTGCGAAGTGATGCTGAAACAAAACCAATAATTAAACTCCGCCCGTTCCCTCCCGCAACATCCATTCGAGCCGTCGGCGTACACAGAGCCCAATGCTCCTGCTCTCAGCTCACAAGGTGCTGCTGACTTTGACGCTTTGCTGCGAGGATCTGGACGCCTCGAAGCCGTGGCAGCCCGCCAGCGGGGTATCCTTCGGCAGGAAGCTCTCCACCTTGCGCACGCCAGGCTCGACAAACAACAAAAATCGCCCGAGTTCGTGGCCGCACCCTTGATCCCCCTGAATCCGAGAACGGCGCTGTAAACTGTGGGACGGGAGGCTGCTCGAGTTCAAGATCGTCCTGGCATCGCTCGGTGACTACAAAACCCAGGAATGGAGCTAGCAGAGTGCAGCAGACGTAGACGAACAGTCAAACAAGACCCTCGGCTCAGCCCACAACGATCTGTAGCCAAACGTTTTCGTTTACCGCAATATTGCTATGGCAGCAACTGGAAAGGATGCTGCGAAGATGACATGGATGAGCTGAGCCGCGGGAATGTGCAAGGATTGGTCAACAGGCCTGAGGCTGAGGGGTCGTATGGATGCCCTCCATCCACTGGACTTCCCTCATCAGTGTTGAATAAATCTCTGAGCCTCCACACTGACAAAACTCTCGACGTCCCCAATTTCCCGAGCGCGCTGCTCTCTGCCCGCTGGCAGCGGACCCGGTGCAGTGGTTTGCAGCGGAACGCTGGGCATAGGTGTAGTTGCCGGGAGTGTAGCAGGGCCTGGCTTTCGTCCACACTATGACTGATGACTTCGCGCGCTCGCGCACAACTGGCTGCTAAGCCGGGTTATCAGATAGCTGACATCTCGTGAAAGCCCCGTGGGGCCCGTTGGCTCTGAAATGGGCATTCCAGGACAATGAAGCTTGAGGTTAGCATGAAGTCTTCCACTTCTGCTCCAAACCAGAGCCTGCCTGCAACGAAAGGTGCTGTGGTCGGAGGTGGCGCCGGCGGGTTGGGAAGTAGGACATGGTGGACCACCTCACAGCAAGGGAACCATGGGAAATGGCCTCAAACTTCAAACTGAGTGTCGCGCATTTATGGTTGGACTTTGGGTCTGGCTCTGTTGGCCTTGCTGCCCCTGACATGGTGCGATGGATTAAGACTCGCTTGCCCTCGCCAATCTTCAAGCTTCAGGTCGTGAGGCCCGCGCCCACTGATAGTAGGGCTTCTTGGGCCTCGTCTGCGGGCCATATCAACACACATGACGAAAGCGCGGGACGCCTCTTTTCTGAAACTTCAGTCACCGGCCCCCAAGAATAGGAGCCACCAGGCGGCTGCAGCGGATCTACTCCCTGAGCTCCCGGTCCAGCCTGCACCAGGAAGCGCAAAGCAGCAGAGCCACGGCCGAAGTTCTGAGCCCTGGCGGAGCCTGGCCCGGGGGCCCCTGGCCCTGGCAGGAGGCACAGCTGCGATGTTTTCGGAGCAAAGCAAAGCACTGCTGATGCTTTCTGAGCCCGGCACAAAATGCACTGTTTGCAGTCCCTGCTGGCCCTGCTGGCCCTGCTGGCCCTGCTGGCCCTGCTGGCCCTGTTGGCCCTCGGCAGAAAGCACTATGCAAATGACCAGCATCACGTCAGTCGGCTAGCGCGAGAGTTACGACCCAAACGGTAGTTGCTGGTAGGCCTGCTCTAAACAAGCGCTCAAGCCCCAGCCATCTACTACCATACCATCTTCTTCCAGGCAGGAGATCACATTCAAAATGCTCCAGCTGCCACATGCTGACATTGCAGGAGCAACTGTGCGCCGCACAAAAAATATTGTCTGCTGATTTGCCGCGGAGCTGCTCAAGTCCTACAACAAACGGTACAACAAACGGGAAGAAGCTGGATGCTGTCGAACCAGAATGACAACAGCATCATCAAAAGAGTAAGGCAGAGACCGCACTGCATCGAAGAATCAGACTGAAGAGCAATCTGTGCCACCTGCACATATCGGAATACATGGCAGGCTACTGGTATGCCTATGCATGGGCATGTTTGACTTCCTCTTGGACATGTGCATGGGATTGCCTCGCCATTTCTGCGATTGGCTGCAACACCGCGTCACTAGTGAGGGAGACTTCTATCCTGGCAGGAATGATACGAAACCAAGATGACAAAAAAGCGGCGCGTTCGAAGTTGAGGTGTATGTTTGTGTGCGCGTGTACTGTACTCTCCGTCTCTCTGTCTCTCTGGTCTGGTCTGGTCTGGTCCGGTTCGTGTGTCCGTGTGTCCGTGTGTCTGCGTGTGTGCGTGTCTGTGTGTCTGTGTGTCTGCGTGTGTGCGTGTCTGTGTGTCTGTGTGCCTGTGTCTGTGTGTCTGTGTGTCTGTGTGTCGGCGTGTCTGTATGTCAGTGTGTCCGTGTGTCGGTGTGTCTGCGGGTCGACGGGTCTGGGTCTGTGCGTCTGTGTCGGTATGTCCGTGTGTCTGTGTGTCAGTATGTCTGTGTGTCCTTGTGTCTGTGTGTCCGTGCGTCTGTGTGTCTTCGTGTCTGTGTGTCCGTGTGTCTATGTCTGTGTGTCCGTGTGTCCGTGTGTC